GGTGCCTGCTTTAGAGCCTTGGAGGCTTGCTCCCTCACCTCCCCTTCCCTCCCCCGCTGCATCTCCCTCTCCTTTCCTTGTATCTGCTTCCTTGTTTGTCCCACTCTGTCCACCGGGCCGTTTGCTCTCCGGCAGCGAGGCCTTATTGGCTCCGTCCTCGGTGTCCTCTTAGGGCTCAGCACTGTCCCCTGTGTGGCCCAGTGTTAGTTGTCCAGCAGTTAGTTGATGGTTACAGATACGGGGTATTGTAGGTTGGTTTTATCGCAAGGAGCACGTGCCATTCAGGTAGTTCCCATACGAAAGAGGGAGTTTATGGTAAAACCTCACATCTCCTGCAGGAAGCTCAGAACCAGGAAAGGTCTGACTGTCAAGGCCACCACTGACCCCCCGGCAGAGCCACGTGGTCCCCCGCCTCTCCTCCTCTGCTCATCCCTCCCCTCTTCTCTTGGCAGACGGGGCCGCTCAGACCCTGGGAGCCTCCACTGGCACCAGATGGGCGAGGCCCAGCAGTCCCGGTCATTGGCCCCCTGCTGGAATGCTGGCTGTCACAGGTCCAGTGGGCCGGCCTTGTCCCCTTAGGGTTGTACCTTTCAGAGGCTGTGGGTGGGGTGGGCACCCTGAAGTAAATCCATGAATTGGGGAATGAACCAAGTAGGAAAAAGCAAAACAAGTGTGGTTTGACTGTAAACGTAGCATTACAGTTCCATATCCGTGAGGAGCTTAGGCGGTGTGCCTTCTGCGACATGACTGGTGTGCCTAACGTTACCGTTGTCAGATTAGTTTAGTTGTATTTTTATATTTCATGAATCTGACCTACTGATTGTAATTTTTATGTACTAACAGAAGAGGAAACACGGCCAATCGCCTCTGACACATAGCTTTCTTATCTACTTAGCAATTTTACTTCTGTTCTTACTAAAAGAGCTCTTTGGATCTCTTTAGACAGTTTCCACCCAGATCACTTTCGTGTGTATATAAAAAAAGGAAAGTGGAAATGAAATAAATCTGTTTTTGGCATTCCTAACACTTCCTTGAAACATTTTGACACAACAATCGATGTCTTTATTTTCCTTACGCGATAGGTCTCTGCCATTCAGACAAGGTGTGAATGATGCAGCCTTTTTGTTGCTGGAATTTTCTTCCAAACCCGTGCCACCATCCTGTTAGTTTTGATGCTGTTGCTTCTGGAAGTGTGGCTGCAGTTTGGCTGTGTGGCCGCAGCACAGAGCGCCCTTGTCCTGCGTGTCTGAGGATGGCAGTTCTGGGTCAGGCCTGTGAGCCTTGGTCCTAGTCTGTGAAATGGGAATGATCCTAGCGTCTAAGTCTTCAGGTGGTTGTGAGGAGTCAGTAAAGTAATGCGTGCCATGTTTAGACCAGTGGCCCCTTGCACAGTCTTCAGTACACGCAGATTGCTGTCCTCCTTCTCATTAGTATTATGTTAACCTTGCTTAGTGCATGTGCTCTGCAGGACCACCTGGGCTTCCTGTCCCGTGTGCTCGCCTCCGTGGTAGAGGTGAGGAAGTGGAACGTCACAGACGTTCCAGCACTTGTTGAGGATGAACTGGTTTCATAGAGCAGAGCTGGAGGACCTGTCCTTGAGCTTTGCCATGGTTGAAAGGGAGGGGTGCGGGGGTGGGGGATGGCTCAGGCTCCAGCTCCAGCTGAGGCTGACATCCTGCCGTCTACCCCCCGCAGGGCGGGGTCTCTAACCTCAGATCCGTGTGCCATAATGCAAACTGCTCCTTTGGAAGATGCTGTGGCAAGTGTGTGCATGCCTGGTGCCATGGGCACAGCCTCTGGGCCAAGGTGTGTGTGGTAGACCATTTATTTGATGTGCCATGCTGGACCTCAGCATGGCCCTCCAAGCCTGAACGGGAGAGCCTGGCACAGGCCTGCAGATGGGGTCTCTTGTGGGAAGGGGTGTGTGTGAGATACTCCGTTACGGTGCAGACAACCCTGGTGGCCACATTCCTTCAGTTAGTCCCAGCAACAAATGCCGCCGTTTATCATTGTGTTCCTGGAAATATTTTTTACATTTTGGGTATTGTATATGACATTGTGTAGAATCTTCTAAACGAGGATATATTTGGTTAAAAAACTAGCTTGCCAAAACTAACTTGGTCCCGAGGCGCTGCTCATGGTCTGTTGGTGTTTAGGAAGACTCACACAGGAGCTTATGAGTGGATTATTAATTCTCCTATTTGTTTCAAGATGTTTGAGAACAAGAATCTGTTAGGAACCAGATAGAGTCTCGGGCCTGGAAAGTTAGGATCTTGTTTTTGAAAAACCGTTGGAGAGAATGGGTAGGCAGCCCCCCCTTGGTCAAGGGTGTGGACTCTGCGATTATTCAGACCAAGGTCCCACACAGTTCACACTGCACCTCGCTCCCTCGGGAGCCCCCACATGTAGGCAGAGATTCTCCCGGAGGGGCATGGGGGCGGGGGAGCCATGTCCTTACCTGCAGGGCCCTGGGTGGATGTGTGTCAGGGGAACAAAGACTCAGCACCCAGAGACTCTTTCACTGGGGCCTGAGGGCAGTCGAGAAATGCAGATTCCTGGCCCATATATTTGGTTTTGTGATTCATTAGGTCTGGGTTTGGAGCTGGGAATCGCCTTTTTATTTTTATTTATTTTTTATTTTTTAAAAGGTTTTATTTATTTGAGAGAGAGAGAGAGGGCGAGAGCACACACGCACAAGCAGAGGCAGAGGGACAGGTAGACAATTCTGAGGTCATGACCTGAGCCTAAATCGAGAATCAGAGGCTTAGCCAACTGAGCCACCCAGGCGCCCCATGGGAATTGCCATTTTGAAGCATCCCTAGGTGATGATTAGGTGGGTTAGACTTTCCCTAGAAGACTCCACCTTCCTGAGTGCAAGTTCAGATGACTGTCCTGACCAGTTTATGCTGTAAGGTCTGGGTGGCTGGGAAGGGTGCTCCTAGAACAGAACGGCCTGAGCATAGCCATGAAGCAGGAGAGCTTTGGAGGCATGTGCAGATGAGCATCTACAGGTGAATGTGGCGAGAGCATTCAGTAAACGGGGATGTGGTGGGCGTGCTTCTCAGAATGAGGGTCCAGGCCTGGCAGCCACACCTGGAAACTTGTTCCTAAGGCAGACCTGCTGGACCCCAAAGGCCTAGGGGCAGAGGGGCAGGGGGGCATCCTGTGTCTTCACGAGCCCCCAGGGGATTCAGCTGCCCCTGGAGCCTGAGAGCCCCTGGTTGGGAGGAAGGGGTTCCCGAGTGCCGGGTTAATTCAGCGGGCAGTGAGACCCCATCACAGGACAAGAACCAGATTTCAGGAAGCTTCATCCAACGGCACATGTGATGGAGAAGAGAAATTTTGCTTTCTTTTCATCTTTATACAGATAGGAATTCAATATAAAGTTACAGAATTACTCAAGTTAGGGAAAGATGACTAAGTCTTCATTTAATTCTTTTAAATTCTAGAAAGTGGGTGATAAATTATTTGAAACAGAATAAAAAGATTACAGTATTATGAAAAAGCTAATTGTACTTAGACATTTTGTAATTTAAATTACTTTCTATTAACAGAAAACATTCCTGGGGCACCTGGGTGGCTCAGTCGCTTAAACATCTGCCTTCGGCTCAGGTCATGATTCCAGGGTCCTGGGATGGAGCCCTGAGTTGGGCTCCCTGCTCAGTGGAAGCCTGCTTCTTCCTCTCCCACTCCCCCTGCTTGTGTTCCCTTTCTCGCTGTCTCTCTCTCTCTCTGTCAAATAAATTAAAAAAATCTTAAAAAAAAAAAAACAGAAAACATTCTTGTCTAGTGAGAGAAAAAGAATAAATTTATTTGTCAACAGAAATTGCAAACTTAGGAGCAAAAATGTCAAATAGGATATGTGCTTACAGAGGGGAAAGTGGTTTTCTGGATTGTTAGGAGAGAATGGTTGTTTTTCAGATTTAAAACTTAATAAAAATGCACACCTTTGGAAGTTAAAATCAAGTAAAATGTGACATCTTCTGAAACAAGGATAACCGTGATGCTGGAGTGTGGTGTTAAGAGTTGTAGGACGTAAAACCCCACAGGCAGCCAGGCCTGGTGAGCGGGTGTGCACGCGCAGACGGAAGCCAAACAATGGCTGCTTCCCCTCTGAGGAGAGTGGGCTGTGAAATGCAAAGCAATCCTGGGTCTTCTTCCATTACAAACACACTTCTGTGGAACTGTGATCCCTCCCCCTCTAAAATGGAAATCTCCAGGGGCACCTGGGTGACTCAGTTGGTGAAGCATGGACTCTTGGTTTCAGCTCAGGTCATGATCTCAGGGTCATGTGAGGTGGAGTCCGCTTGAACCTGTCCCTCCTCCCACTTGCACTCAAGCATGCTCGCTCTCTCTGTCTCTCAAATAAATAAAATCTAAAAAAAAAAATCCAGACTGGAAGCTGAGGAAAACCCTGGATTTTCAAGTGACTCCTGACACTCCATAATCAACAGTTCGAAAGGGCGTGTTCCAGAAGGCCTGCACTGGTGGGGGAGGGGTGCTCGAGTGGGGTTTATCAGACCAAACTACTCTAGTGCTTATTACTTAGTACGACTGTAGTGATCAGAATGCATGCATGGGGGATTTTACATGAAATCATGCCAGTATGTAGAATTTTAAATAGTGTGTTTAGTATGTACACTCCATATTTCCTGAAATTACTAAAGGTTGTTTTTTATTTTATTTTATTTTTTTAAGATTTTTATTTATTTATTTGAGAGAGAGAGACAGTAAGAGAAAGTAGGAGCAGGGAGGAGAGGGAGGAGCAGGCTCTCCTCTGAGCAGGGAGCCTGATGTGGGGCTCGATCCCAGGACCTTGGGATCATGACCTGAGCCGAAGGCAGACGCTTAATGACTGAGCCACCCAGGTGCCCCACTAAAGGTTGTTTTTTAGATTTTTCACACATCATTAAATAAAATTGTTGGATTCTATTTTTGTTTTCAAAAAATGGGATATGTATCATTGGTAACCATATTTGGCAATATCCTTGATTGCACAGGGAGAAGACACCCATTGTCAGAAAAAAAGATTATGCACTATATGTACCAGTTATGTAAATCCCTTGATCATATGCACAGGTATGCTCTTGGAGACTTGGCATCTCTCAAATTGATAAAACGTATTAACATTCATTAAAAATTCAATGTAAAAGAATTTGAATGAGGCACAGATTAATTTTATCCTTCCTTTTATATTGAATGCAGAAGTGGAATATTTCACAGAGATGTAAAGCCAGAAAATATATTAATAAAGGTAAGAACTTCCATAAAAAAATGATATCAGAAGAAAGGTAGAATGGGAAACCTTTTTACTAGATAGGCTTTCAATCCCAGATAGTTGGGCACCGTGTTTGTTATGCTGTTGTTTTCTCCCAGTTGGAAAAAGTGGTTTATTTAATAAGCGCCATCAACACAACTGTACATCTGAAAGGAAATTATCTTAGGCACTCTTCTCTTACTATAGGCAAAAATAAACCCCAGGGGCGCCGGGCTGCCTCAGTCAGTGGAGCGTGTGACTTTCAGGGTCATGAATTCAAGCCCCATGTTGGGTGTAGACACTACTTAAAAAAAATAATAGGTAAATAAACTCCATTCATATTATCCTTCCAAACACTGTGCATGTGAAAGTAGAAGAGTCAGGATTTGCGCTCAGGTCTGTCCCAGTCCGTAGCCAAGTCAACTGTACATACTTGAAGCCTGCAGCCCGGTAAGTTTGGGAATATGTACACACACACGAGGCCATTGTCAAAGCCGAGTAAGCAGACCTCTTGCCCCGGGAAGGTTCCCCGTGCTCCTTGGTCATCCCTCCTGTCCGTTGTCCCCAGACAAAGACTGACTTTCTGTCATTATGTATTAGTTTGCACTTTCTAGAATGTTCTCTAAATGGCATCTATAGTATGTGCTCTTTGTCTGGATTTTTCCCTCAGCGTCATCATTCTGACATTTGTCCACCTTGTAGTGTGAATACCACACCTTTTGAAGTTGTCCCACAGTTCTTGGCTGTTCTCTGTTTTTGCCATTATTTGTTCTCCCTGCATTTCAGTTTGGAAGTGTCTGTTGGAGCATCTTCCAGCTCACTGATTCTTTCTTTGATTGTTTAGCCTGTGGATGAGCTTATCAAAGTCATTTTTATTTCTGTTGCAGTGGTTTTTATTTCTAGTGCTTCCTTTGGATTCTTTCTTAGCGTTTCCATCCCTCTGCTTGCATTTCCCATCTGAACTTTCCCTGAGCTTTCCCATCATCTACTTTTTCCACTAGAGCCCTTAACAGATCACTCATAGTGATTTTAAATTCCCTGACTGGTAATTCCAAAATCCTTAAATCTGTGCCATATCCGAAACTGGTTCTGATGCTTGCTTTGTCTCTCAGACTGTTTTTCTTGCCTTTTAACACAATGTACAATTTTGTTGGAGGTCCGACATGATGCACTGGGTAATGGGATCAGGTGAAAGGCTGTTGGAATGAAGTTTCTTGATAACCTGGCTAGGAAACGTGCTGTGTTGAAGGTTTGCTGTAGGGGTAGGTACCAGAGGCTCCAAATTTATTGACAGCCTGTATGTTATTACCTGAATGTGAGGGATAAACAAAATTGAAGAGGTATCCTGAAACGTGTCTCCCTGGTCTGTCTGACTTGCTCCAAAGAACCCATGGCTCCAGAGAACCGCCCCCCCTCCCCCGCGGTGTAGAACAAAGTTGCCAGCAGAGCTGGACTGCTGGGAAGTTAGAGACAAACGAAACACTATGGTGTTTAATTCATTTGTGGACTCATGCTGTGACTTAAAATTTTCCAAAACCTGTAGGCATTTGGAAATATTTGTAAAACATAGCCAGAATATTTGTAAACGTATCCCACTGAATAGAAACACCACTTCGTTATCTGTTAGAGGCAGTTGCGGGTGCTTATGAAGTAATTTGTATTTTATTTTTTATTTGTTTATTTATTTTAAAGATTTTATTTATTTATTTGAGAGAGAGAGAATGAGAGATAGCACGAGAGGGAAGAGGGTCAGAGGGAGAGGCAGACTCCCTGCTGAGCAGGGAGCCCGATGCGGGACTCGATCCCGGGACTCCAGGATCATGACCCGAGCCGAAGGCAGTCGCCCAACCAACTGAGCCACCCAGGCGACCCGTAATTTGTATTTTATAAGCTAGTTTCGATGCTAGTAATTTTCCCGTTGGTGTGTAACTGTTTGAAGTGGTCTGTATTATAACAGCTGCTTGATGAGATGTCATTTGTCCCTGCAGCAGGATGTCCTGAAGTTAGGGGACTTTGGATCCTGCCGGAGTGTCTATTCCAAGCAGCCCTACACAGAGTACATTTCTACCCGCTGGTACCGTGCCCCAGAGTGTCTCCTCACCGACGGCTTCTACACCTACAAAATGGACCTGTGGAGCGCTGGCTGCGTGTTCTACGAGATCGCCAGGTAGAGCTGGGGCCCGCCTTGTGTGGGAGAACCCTACTGGTGCCACCGGGCCTCTGTGCGCATGTCCTGAAGCAGGCCGCATGGCGAGGCTCGGCCTGCCTACCGCGTGGCTTCATGCCAGGCCCTTCCTTTACCAGACAGACTTTACAGTCGTCTTGCCCATGTGACTGTTTAACTTGACAGAAAACGTACCAGGCTTTCATTTTCCTTTTTGTCAAGTACTTTTCCTTGTTTGCTTGTCACAAAGCACAGAGTAGTATCAGTTACTTCTTTCCTACTGGCATAACTTGGCCGTAGGCCGGCAGGCCTCCCCCTTTGGCTTCATCAGTGAAATGATTGATTCGTGAGTTCAGGGACAGAGTAGAAATGTGCTTATTGCCACCTTGTGGGGCCTGCCATGGGGATATGTGAGCAGCGCCCCTGCTCCTGGGACCTACCCTAAGAGAGATAGTCCATCAAGTGGGATGCTCTGGTCAAAGCGTGAGGATGGATCACCTTGTGGCACAGCTGGATTCTAGAAAACCCCAAGTTCTAACCTCCTCCCCGGCCTCCACACCCCCCAGCCTTTGTAGCTTCACACAGAGGGGATGGGCCAGCATTCACTTGCTTGGAGTGGACAGTTAAGGACAAGCAGGTGAATTTAACATCTGGGTGATATGCATCATAGGCGGGGACTCGGGTCGTCTGCTCTCACCAGCTCAGCTGCCCACTTCATAAATACGGACATGCGTGTCCTTCAGGACACACCTATTGATAATCGGCTTGTTATTTTTGGAGAGCTGAGTGGCACTTTCATTGAGCTTCAAGTACCGACAGACAGTCCTTTCTGCTGCACTAAAACCCCTACGGGTGGTAAAGGACTTCAGTGTGGAGGACGTGATGGCTGGTAGCGTCTCACCAGCGTGCAGGGCAGCCTGTGGGGGGCCCGCCACACACACACACACACACACACACACACACACACACACACACACACGCAACCCTGCCCCCCCCACCCCCACCCACCGAGTGTCAGAGCTGCTCCCTGCCTGCCCGGGCTTTCCTCCTGTCTCCTGCAGCCATGGATGCTTTCCTGTGCGGAGCTGCTGTTCTCAACTCTTCTTTGTGGCTTGTCATGCGAATTGAATTTATTTACATAAGCCTAAAATCCTCCATCCACGATTCCAAAATCCGTAAAAGTTCCAAAAACCAAAACGTTTCTTGGACTTCATTTGTCACCAAAACCAGACCCAATCCACCCTGAATTTTTGTTGGAAAACCTCCCCTGTGACAGGAGACTTACGGAGGCGACGTGTCTTGCCACGGAGATATCAGGGTGTACAGAGAGGAATGTGGCCATCTCTTAGAATGACACCCCCTGTTGGGAAAGGAGAAACAGTCCCGAGCCGAAGGGGAACGGAAAGCCCGTAGCTGGCAAGGAGGGCCACACCCGGGGGATTGTGTCCTGGGGTTCCGTGTGAGCTAGCCGCCCGGCAGAAGGGGACGTTGGGAGGAAGAGCCGTGGCCTGCCCTAACCACAGACCCATGCCGTTCTTCCAGTCTGCAGCCCCTCTTCCCCGGAGCCAACGAGCTGGACCAGATCTCAAAAATCCACGACGTCATCGGCACCCCTGCCGAGAAGACCCTCACCAAGTTCAAACAGTAAGTGTGATGTGTGCCCAAGAGTCCCGTTGTGGACTTGCCTCCTGCCAAGGCTGGTGGTGGCAGCCAGCCGAGGGGCCCAGGCTGCGCCTCTCCTGCCCTTGCAGGCCCTCTGTCTGCTTGGGTCCCCGCTGCCGCTGAAGGGAGGCAACGCGGCAGCTGCTCGGGGCTGTGGTCCCCCAGGGGTCCTGCCAGGGGCGCGCTCCCTCCAGCAGCACAGAAGAGTTCAGATGGTCTTGCTGAGGGCCTGGCGGTCAGGTTTTGTCCTCTGAATATTTACCCCAGACTGAGAGACCTTTGGGCGGAGAAGGTTCCCACATACAGGCCGTGGGTGGTGAGGCATTCGTGTGGCTGTTGCCAGCAACACTGACACCCAGACCGCGACTGGTTAGGGTTTGGTTTTGGTCAGAGATGCAGCTGAATCTGGGTAGCTGGGGCTTCTGAGGGAGAGCCCCGTGGGGCAGCGGGTGGGCAGCTCCTGGGCCCTGGGAAGGTAAGGAGAGACAACTATTATGGATTCTTCCTTTTCCCCCTTTTAAGCTTTATCTCTTTCTTCTCAGGTAAGAACATGTTGTTAGTCCTCTCGGGGAAAAGTCGTTTCCTTACATTGATAGCACAACAGATTTCACACTCCTCGCCCCACTTATTTTTTAGAGCAGTTTCAGGTTCAAAGCAAAACTTAGGGGAAGGTACAGAGATTCCCCATAGACCACCGAGGGGCCTGCACAGCCTCCCCCACCGTGACCCTCCACGCCAGGGTGGTGCATCGGTTCCCATCCATGAGCCCACACTGACACATCATCGTCACCCCGAGTCCGCAGTTCACATGAGGGGTCCCCCTGCTGCCGTACATTCTCTGGGTTTGGACGACTGTGCAGTCACACCCCTTCTTAGAGCAGAAACTGTCATCGGTGCAGGGCCCTGTAGAATCATGATGATGCCTGGCCAAGTGCTCTAAATAATGGCATGATCGTTTATTATCATTGGGCTTTTAATACAGGTCGAGAGCTATGAGTTTTGATTTTCCTTTTAAAAAGGGATCAGGAATACCTCAACTGACAGCCAGTCTGTCCTCGCAATGCCTCTCCCTCCTGCATGCAATGGTGGCCTATGATCCCGATGAGAGAATCACTGCCCACCAGGCCCTGCAGCATCCGTACTTCCAAGAACAGAGGTGGGCTCCCGTGCAGCTCGGCGGGGGAGGGGTGGCAGGTGCTGCCGCTGAGGCCTGGGGGGGCACAAGTGGGAGTGGGTGGGTCCGGGAACAGCTCTATCCTGAACTTGGGTGCCCCCGAGATGTCCCCCTCACTCTTTTCTGGTGTGGCCTCCCAGGAGGAGGTGGTCAGTGGCCCTCGGCAGGGCACGAGGAGGGCTCAGTGGCTGTTTTGAGGCTGATGCCGAGGCTCCAGTGGTTAAGACTCCAGGAGGGGCCTGGCGCACAGCAGTGACAGCAAGGAGAGCTCGCTGTGGGGTTGGGGGCACCTTGGTACCTCGCATGGGGGGAGCTGCCTGAGGGCGTCTCATCCCGCACCTCGAGGCACTCCTGCCAGGGCGAGCGTGGCGGTGAGCGCGGGGGCTGCAGGCCCGTGGCAGGCCCGTGCCCACAGTTCACGTGGGAAGGAAGAGGCAGTGAGCACGCAGGATAGACCAGCCTGGGAATGAGGAGAGGGACATGCAGTCGTGCTGTGCACTCTCTCAGGGGAGCACGCCCTCTCTCCTCCCCTTCAGGGCGGCTGAGAAACAGGCTCTGGCCAGCCTCAGGAAAGCCTTCTTTCCAGAGCACCCTGTGGCCTCGGAACTTCTCAGTAACAGTTGGCACACTTCAGAGGAGGACAGAAAGCAGGTACTGAGTGAAGTGAGGGAGCTGGAAATGGCCTTTGTAGCTGGGACTGGATGCCCTCAGGTAGCCCGTGTCTCTGAGGAGGACGCCCCCCCCCCACACCAGGCCAGGCGGCCCCACCGGTCTTCGAGGCCTGACCCTGTGCCCCTGAGGTCTCTGTGTGCCAGGACACAGGGAGCCTGGCTCGATGGTTCCTGCCCTTCTGCCCCCCTCGCTGAGGGGGGACAGCAGCGTCCCGTGTGTGCAGGCCAGGCCAGGCGGGATTCTCCCACACGCAGGGGCCCAGTTCCCTCCCACAGTGCTTGGCAGCTGTCACCTCCCTGTGCCCTCTGACTGACCCTAGCAGGGGGCACAGAGAAGCTAAACCGGCCCGGGTGACCCAGCGAGCCAGTGACAGGTCCCCACACGCTCAGCAGGCCCCAGATGAGCACTTGCCTGGGCACACACTGTTTGCTTTAGAAACAACAGCTTCCCTCTGCAGTCTTTTCATCCTTGAGCGCCCCAAGTGGTCCCCGCTGCTCAGCCCCCTCCCAGCTCCATGTGGGGGCTGGCACCGCACCGTGTGGTGACTGTGCCCTTCCGTCACTCATCCCAGCATCTGCTGCATGTCACTTCGTGCTAGGAGCTGAGGTCACCGACATATCTGCAGCCAGGCCGCTCTCCAGAATTCCAGACTGCTGTGTTCAGCCGCCTGCCTGATGGTTCCATTTGGCCAATAGGCGGAGTGGTTCAGACCCACTCTCCCAGTCTCTCCCCCCAAACCTGCTTTTCTCCCCATGCCTTCCCTTTAAGGATGGAGGCAGCTCCCTTTCAGCTGTTTAGGCCCCAAACGGTGACACCCTCCTCCCCAGTCACCTGAACCTCTCTCATTTTGCCTTCCAACTGCTGTCCCTGCTCAGCCCTTCCCTCCAGTGAGACACTTGGCTGTGTCACTCCTGCCGGCACCCACCACAGTCCCCCCGTGTCTGGAGGGGCTACCTGGGAGGCCTTCCCTGCTTTGGGGCCATAAGGTCCCATCACAGCTGCCCTCTTCTCTGGTGCCGTGGATGATCTGTAAATGAACCAGTGGGGCTCTGTCCCAGTAAAACTTTGGACACTGTGATGCAACTGTTAAAAAATGCAGGGGTGCCTGGGTGGCTCAGTTGAGTTTCTAGCTCTTGGCTTCGGCTCAGATCGTGATCTCGGGGTCGTGGGATCGAGCCCCGCATTGGGCTCCAGGCTCGGCAGGGGGCCTGCTGGAGATTCTCTCCCTCCCCTCAAATAAATAAATAAACAGAATCTTTAAAAAAAAAAAAAAAAAAGGTAAAAAAATTCTTAGGTCACCAGCCACACTAGAGCAACACTGCGGGCAGATCTGGCCAACTTCTGGACTTCAAGCAGGGCCACCAGCACCGCCGTGGCCCGTGGAACGCTGCTGTGACCATGTCAGTGGCCTCCTGGGCATCAGGCCAGGTCAGGCTACGGTCGGCTGCCCTGTGGGGGAGAACCAGGCCCCAGACTCCAGTGTGGAGGCTCTCCCTCCCCCAGGGGGGATGCTCCGATGAGCAGCACGTCACCTGGGTGGCAGGGATACCGTCTGGTCACCGTACGATCACACCTCTTGGTCAAGTTCCATTAGGCGAAAGTCATGCAAAAGAGCCTCTTGTGTTTTTCCTAATTTCCATAAAGGGGACATCATTGTACGTTCACCCGACCTGTGTTTTGTTTCAAGAAACAGTCCCTAAAGCCAGAGGAGGACCATCCCAAGAGACCAGGACCGGCCTACCTAATGGAACTGCCCAGACTGAAGCTTTCGGGAGTGACCAAACTGCCCTTGTACTCCAGCCCCGCGCTGCACTCCGTGTTCAGCCCGGGGGCCGACAGGAAAGCGCCGGTGCTGAGGCACCCCAAGTGTGTTGGCGCCAACCAGAAGGTAGCCCGTCGCGCTAGCTCCCCGTAGCCCATAGCTCTCGGCCCGGCCCCGCTGAGCGTCTGCTGTTCCCTTTAACAGACGGATGCGCAGAAGGACAGTAAGCCCAGCCTGAAGCAGTGTCGCCTGCCCACGATCGAAAGGAAGGGCGGAGGCTACCGAGCCGCGCACGCCGGCTCCCCTGCCCGGAGCACGAGACCAGGCGCGGCCAGGCCGGGCCCTGCGGATCGCCACCAAGCCTCGGATGGAGGGCTCCGGGAGAGGCCTGGCGTGTCCCCCTCGCAGAGCCCCGAGACCACTGCCCCGCAGGCCAGCCAGCGCCCACCTGGCCTGGAGCCCCCAGCCTGCAGCGCCTGGCATCCTGAGAGCACAGGTCCTGTATGTTCCAGTTGAATACATTTGTAAAACCACCCCATTCTGGGCTTTTGTTTCATTTTTGTAACCTAGGAATTTGGGGCAGAAAATATTTTGTAATCTTTTTATCTGAGTCAAAACAGAAATCAGAATTTATATACTGTATTATTTAGGCTTGGTTTCAGCACGGGCTCTGCGCGTCGTGCCTTCTTGGGTACGTCACTGATACTGTGTGGCACGTCACAGTTTACAGATTATGCTGTTGGAGTTTTATTAAAGAATAAGCTGTCAGTACAATATTTTAATATTTTCTGAGTTAAACGTGTGTCCTGACATGCATTTCTTTATTTTAGGTCTTGTGAGCATATTTGGGGAATTTATTTTGTTGGGAAGGCTTTGGTACAGCTTAATTTTGTGGCACGTGAAAAGCCAGTAAGAACTAAACAGAGGCTCGGCCAGGGTGCTCCGTGGCCCTGGTACCCTGGGGAGCTGCAGCCGGACGAGGCTGCCAGGTGTGAGGCACGTCGGAGCGCCGGGCTTCCCCGCGGCCGCCGGCCACCTCGCCTTAGCTCCGGAGGCCCAGCTTCGCCTGTGAGTAGAGGTGCTGCTTCCGGACAGCGCTTTTGGCCCTCCTGCTGGGCAGATGCCAGACCCTCCTGAGCCCGTTTTTGTCTTGGGATGTAGCATAATGACCCCTTCTTGTCCTCGCCTTCACAAACTTACAACATTAAGAAAAAGCAAATTTCCCAGGTTAGTATTTGTCTTCTTGTTCCCTCTTTTTTTTTAAGATTTTATTTATTTGACAGAGAGAGAGAGAGAGACAGTGAGAGAGTGTGAGCACAAGCAGGGGGCGCTGCAGGCAGAGGTAGATGCAGGCTCCCCACCCCACGGAGCAGGGAGCCCCATGTGGGGGCTCGATCCCAGGATCCCGGGATCATGACCTGAGCCAAAGGCAGGCGCCCCTTCTTGTTCCCCAGCATCACTCGGCATCAGGGAAATCTTGTTCCCTCTTTTAAGACAAATCTGTGACATTCTTCCACACGCTCTCCTGTGGCCACCACCTCTGACCCACCTGCCAGGCGGTGAAGCAGAACCAGGAGTCCCAGCCCGGCCCAGCTGTGGGGTGGATACAGCAGCCTCGGGAGGGGCAGGCGGGAGCCAGCATTTACAGGGGCGGGGTGTGGCTGAGTGCAAGGCAGCATGGGCGTGGGCCACATGGGGGCCGAGGAGCCCAAGGGGCAGATTCAAGACAAGAAACAAGGCTTCGGGGATGTTCAGAGCTGGGTGCACATGAGGAGGGGCTGGAAAGAGCTTCCTTTGAACCCATTTAACACCCTGTTGTGGCAAGGGGGGCACTGGGGGGACAAGCAGGGCGCCACTCTGCCTCCGAGGAGGATCTGGGAGTTCCGGGTCCCCTGGGAGCTGAGGCAGGGAGGAGGCCAGAGCCAGGTGGTGCTGGGGCTCAGCAGCGGGAAGGCCAGGGAGACCGGCGGCCAGAGGCGACGGGAGCGGGCTCCTGGGATTGAAGAGGGCCCTGCACGGCCAGTGCGCCCGTACTCTGACCCCAGGCAGGGGAGGCTGCCGGAGAACCAGGCCCCGGAGGGGCAGCGGCTCAGGGGGGCATGCTCCTGTCTTCGAGGACGGGCCCTAAGGACACATTTAAGGACTGACAAGAATTTGTGTATTTAGGAAAACTGTTACCCCTTTAAGTGTATAACATTTGAAGGGAAAATCTTTTAAAGTTCTCCTGCATACCTTCTGAGAAAGCCGACTTGTCCCTCCCCATGGAGGGCCTCTCTGGGGCAGGCCAGGCCCTTGGGGGGTGGTGTGACCTGTCCACCAGATGAAGCTCTTTTGGCTGCACGTTGGTCTCTGGAATACAAGTGCTGCGGAGCCGTCAGCCCGGAGCCCGGAGCCCGGCCACACCAGGCCCCACGGCGGGCACAGCTGGCCCAGCCCTGTGCACCAGCCTCCATGGAGGAGCAGGGTGGTAGTCTGGCCACGCTTTGCCGTCCCTGCAGCCCCCCACCCGCTCTCAGCACGGGAGCCAGTCCCCGGGCAGCTGAATGGCTCCGGCTGTGTCTGGCCTCTAGGCCCTGTGCTGGGAGGCTGCCTCCGCCTGCTGCCAGAGCCCTGGTGGGTGTCCGCTCACTCCAGACTGGAAAGGCGGGGAAGGAGACCTGAAGGCCAGTTGAGCCTCTGCAGGCAAGGCTGTTCCCGAGCGACAAAGCTCCAGAAGGGAAGTGGGGTCAGAGTCATGCTCCCCCCGACCCTGTCAAGTCGGCTCATTGCACAGTGTTTACTGAGCACCTGCCGGTGCCCCAGCCTCCGCTCCTCACCCACCGGGCCTCCTGCTCTCAGCCCGAGAGGGCGCGAGGCAAGGAGGCGCGAGCTGCTCCCGGGGCAGAGGGGTGGCCTGGTGCACTGGTCCAAGGGTCCCACTGCTGACAGCACCTTAGCGTGTGAACTTGCTTGTGGAGCAGAAACGGCAGCGGGGACGCCCCCCAAGTGGCCTGGGCACTGCGGCTCCCTGCCCCCCGCCTCCCTGCGCGGAGGCCGCTCCCGGGGCCTGCCGTGTTCCTCTGGCCGCCACGTGGCAGCCACCAAGCTCGCTGACTCGCCCTGGAGCATCGGCCTCCTCCCAGCTTCCCTTAGACCTGTCCCCACGGGCGCGCAGCTCGCCTTCACGAGCCCCAAATAAGGACGGAAGCTCAAGGCAGCACGTAAGAGCACTCGCAAGTCGTGCTGCGCCCTCCCTGGCTTCGAGGGTGGCCCGGCTGCCGGCTGCCTGGGGCCTGCCGGGGGCTGCACGCCCGTGGGGGCGCGGGGGGCAGTTACAAGGCAGTCTGATTTTGGAAGCCACCTTGGCCTACTTGCTACAAGAGCCCATAGATTTGTTCCTAGTACAGACGCGTCGACAGCAAATCGGGGCCCACCTGACAGCTTTGCTCCAGAGCCTGAGCAAAGGGGGCGCAGAGCCAGGACCGCCCACCCTGAGGATGTGGACGTGGGGGGAGCACAGCCGGGGCGTCTGACCAAACCGAGCTTGAATTTTCACCCACGTGACCGCTGTCCTCGTGCCAACCAGATTTCCACCTGTCCCTTCATAGAAAAAGGAGCCCGCCCTGCCCCGGAGGGTCACAAGACGAACGCTGGACTCCGTTTTCAAGGGCGGCCTCTGCTCACCTGCCCCGGTATGTGGGCCACCTTGTGTGTCCCTGGACCTGCATGCGCGGGGTTTTGTGCGTCACCGACACGCCTAGAAGCCGGCGCTTTGGTGCCCATGACAGAGAGACCATCCAGAATGTGCGGTTTTAATACGCAGGTCATTGTGAATGTAGACGACTGATAAATTCTGACTCTGTCGCTAGAACGACAGGCGTCTATGTCGTGGCCTTCACCACCGCGGAGCGCCTGTCCCGGGGACCCGGGGCCTCCGCGCAGCTCTCGGAGGGCGTGCGCTCGGTTTCCTGCCTCGGTCGTGGGACGTGCCCCGACTTAACGTGTTCGCTTGGACGCTTCGTGGTTTGGTCACACCAGATAAAAATGCTTCCCAAGGGTGCAGCTGCGGACGTCGGTAAAAGTGACGGCCTTCTGCTCGGGTGCGGGCGGCACTGTGCTTGCAGCTGCCCCCGAGCTGGTCTCGACCCGACACCCACCCCCGATGGTCCCCGCGGCCAACAGAACACGCCGGCCTCCCCGGACGCCGCGATGCACGTGTGGTCACGGGCTCTCAGCGACGACAGCGACTTAAAGCCGGGAGCCACAGAACTCTCCAGATGAGCCCCGCTCTCGGGCTTCCAGGACCGGGGTGGAAAAAGGACGCATCCCATTTTATACTAAACTTTAATTGAACAAAAAGTCACATTGAAAATTGAGTCAACTTAACAGAAGCTAAACCAATGGTATATTCAAGATAGTTTTAATATTAATTTTTTCATGAATTAGAAATGTCCCTCATAAAAGATGGAAATTACTGGTGAAGTAACCATGTCCCCCAGTAGCACAATCACATCATTTATACATCTAATACAGAGCTGCCTGCTTTGGAAACAACAGTATTAAAATAAATGTTAAGATTAAAAAGAGCATCTTCAACACCCTGGAGGGCCGCGAGTCTGTGAGACCCATATTTAAAGTAATTCCCTAATAGCATTAAACTATTTTAAGTGCAACCAATTTGTAAAAATCTATGATTGCAGCATCCATCCTCCTGAATGACAGATTTAAGTCAGAAAGCAACAGCTTTCTTCACGAGTGCATTCCAGGTTGTCTCTGACCACCTACGTATAAAAACAGTGCAAAAACAGAGTGAAGTACTGTTTGTAACAGTTGAGTTTAAGGGGACTTCTTGTCCAAGAAATATTTTATTTTACACTATATATATATGTATAGGTTATATAGATATATACGAGATTTTAATTACACTGAACTTCTGAGTAAAAAGCAAGAAAATCCCCTTTCTTATTTTTTACTGCAGCCCCAAAAGAAGGATTTAAAAACGGGAACCGCCTCTTTGGGTGAATGGCAGAGCGCACCCTCTCGAGCGGGCCCCGTGGGTCCTCGCACGCGACTCCGGGTGACAGCTGCCTCTGCGAGGGTCCGAGCTCCTGTCTCCGTCCGTCGCTGCCTCGGGGCCGGGTCGTCGGGGCGAAGGTTCTCGAGCAGGGGCGGGCCACTACACTACAGTTCCACCCGGAGAGCTGGCCTGGTTTTGGGATGACAATAAACCCTGCAAACAAAGCAGTTTACATTAATCCAGCAAAACACGGGGCGGCCAAGAAAGCCACACTCCTCCTTTGCCAGAGGTCACACGACCACGGATTTCTGTCGGGTTGTTAGCCACTGTTGGAACAAATCCTCCATTTTTCATCGACTTAATTCTTACCCACGCCACCGTGTGACATTCCCAGCTGATCAGGAAGCACGGAAGCCGGCCCCGGCCTGGGCGTCCGACAGTGGGCACGGCTGGCCTGGAGAGCAGCGGGCGGCCTCTCGGGGCCTGGGCTCCTTGGGACATCGTGAGCCCGGTCGCCACCTTGCCCAGAGCACGGCGAGGCCCCCAGGGGAGGGCCCCCCCCCCCCGCTCCCGCAGCGCTGCCCTCTGACCTCACGCCCCGTCCCCTCAGCGGGTCGGCCACGACAGACGGGGGCTAACGCTTTCTAAGGGTGCCTTCCTCCTGGGGGGACGGGGTGCTCTCGCTTTCTCCGGCTGGGGTGTGATGGTGGCGCCCCTCAGGCTTCGGCGTCGAGTATGGGGCTCAGCGGGAAGACAAAGAAGGATCTGGGCCCTGGGCTGTCGGATCTGGGGACAGGGCGCAGGAGGGGCGTGTGTGCCATGGGGGTGGCCCCCACTGAGAGGCGGGAGGCCTGAGCTGGGACCCCCCTGCCAGCTAGCCCCGGGCATAGCAAAGAGCATCTACATTTCTCCACACTCACTGGGATGCAGAGTCTCATCACAGTTTGGCGTTCGTTTATTAAGGATTTTAAGGTAACAAGAGTGTGACACTGAAGCTAGATTTTCAGTTCTGTGCACACAAACTTAAGCTGTCCTAGAAAACGCTTCAGTTGGTTCGTTGTTGCCACGGGACAGGCCTTGAACTCGAAGCGAACGGCGCTGTGTTTGCACAGCCCGGGCCTGTGCGGGTGCAGACGGCGACCGGGCGCCACTGCGCACCCCGGGGGCGGGGGCTGGGAAACGCGACGTCCCACCGCGACGCCTTCTACCTCGTTTTCTCACAACTGACGCCTGTTCACCTAGACCCGATCAGGAAGCCAGGAGCAAAGGGAGCGTCCCACGGAGGCCTGCTCGGAATCTACAGGAGCCCTTCCCCTGGGATCCAGGAGCACAACCCGCGCCGGCGTCCTCGGCGGAGCGCCCCCCGTGCTTCCCACGCACACCCCTCGGGGGGCCGCACGGCCGCCAGGCAGCTAGACGGCTGGAGGGGCTGCCGACCGACCCTGGGCCCCCTGCCTCCCTGCAGGGACGCGGCCGCCCACCAACGGAGGGGACCCGTCCCTCCTCACGGCCTCCACCGAGCTGCAGGGAGGCCAAGGTCGGACCCCGCTTCCGTGGCGACAGTCCGCAGTGAAGAAGCCTTTATCACAAGAATGTTCTGCCTCCGCAATCAAGTGGTTTCCAGGAGCTACAGGATGTCCAGGAACAGTGCCAAGTCTACAACACCAAGAGGTCCCTTTTCTCCCCCTCTTGCTAAAGGGGCAGCGCGCGGTGATCCAGCCTGGGGACAGAGCCCCAGCCCTGTGTCCAGAGGACGGTGACTGGAGGCACCCAAGGTTATCTAAAGACTCAGGACACACTGAGAAAGGCACCCCCACCCCCGCCCCAGACCAGCCTTGTCCAACACGAGGACAAGGCAAGCCACACGTGAAATTTAAAATTCTAGGAGCACATTTAACAATTAAAAGGTGAAATTAGTTCTAATATACTTAACCCAATATACCCCATATTACCATTTTAACAGGTAATGAGTATACAAATTACTAATGATGTATTTTACGTCATTTTTCCGTGTGAAGCCTTGGGAATGCTGTGTAGCGCACCGGCACTTGGGGCGGCCCCCGTTGCAGCGCTCCGCGGCCACGCAGCCCTTCCCTGCCTTAGACCCTCTCCAATCCTGCCCTGGCCCCTCTCCGGCGGCTGGTGGAGGGTGGGTGCTGAGGCTCAGAAGGGTCAGCGGGGGCACCCTGAAATGCCATCCCATCCTCGGGGGCTCCAGGGGGAGGCCGCTCTCCTCCAGCTTCCGTTGGCTGAAGCCTCTGCCGCCCCCTCCCCAAGAACAACCCCCCTGCTGTCCTACCGTCCACGGGAGGCCCGGGTTCAAGAGATCACGAAGGTCACCTAAGCAAGCGGCCACCTCAAACCCACCCTCCCTCCCAGCTTCTGCCGTCCACGCTCCCATAAACCCTCAACTGCCAGATGCCCAGGGAACCGCAGGGTCTGGGTAATGGGATTAGCCCTTCTGATGTCACCCGTGGCGAACAATTTCTTACAGACGCTGTGCAGCAGCGCTCAGCTGGGATCCACACCCGGGTGACGCCCCTCGGGCACCGAGCTGGGAAGGGGCCTGGGATGCCAGCCTGGCATGGGGGAAAGTCCGAGGGCTCGGTGGAGAGCAAAGGGACAAGGGACAGAGCGGCGGAAGCACACCCAATGGCGGGCACCAAGCAGAGGGGGCCCCGCAGGGGCATGCACCCCAGGGTGTAGGTGCCTCCGGGGCGCAGGTGAGGGTCTGGGACGTTCCTAGGAGGGCGCGAGGGAGCGTCGGACACAAGCCGCCCCGCCCGTGAGGCCTTTGCGGGCCAGCGGTGGGGGAGGAGGGCCCCGTCTGGCCGGGCACGGTCAGGGGGACGTCGACCCCCCGGTTCCCTTCCTGGAGATGGAATTGGCTTTGCTGTGATGGGGACTGTGGAGGCATCGCGGGAAATGTGGCCGTTCAAAGACTCAAAGTCACCTTATTTCTATAAGCTGTGCTTTCGTTTAAAGGTTACCAGGGGACAGAGAAAGACGGGCAGCACACGCAGGCCCCCATCAAAGACTTGAGACCGCGGTCGCGAGGAAGCCCTGCTCCGGAGGCGGGCCTGCGTTTGTGTCCTCCGTGGTGACTCTTCAGGGGCAGGAAGAGCGAAGAACAGGCCCGGGCGGATGGAGTCAGGCCCGCCCGGCCTGCACGCCGCCGACCTCGTGGAGGCCACTTGTCCTCAGCGGTGGGGGGACTGCTGGTGGCCCGCCAGACACCCGACAGCTGGTGACGAAGAACTGCGCAAACACCAGCCCGGCCGAGACTCTGGGCATCCGCCTAATAGCCTATTAGGCCCCCGGGTTGGGGCGGGGGAGCTATTACCGGACGAGGGACGATTCCGGAATCTAATATTTAATAAGCTGTTCTGTTCTCACCAGAGTGGCCATTTTCTTCCTGCTAGAGATTTCATTTTGAAAAGTAAGTGCTGAAATACTCCAGGTCTTGGTCACGCAGAGACTAAGAGGCAAATATCACTTGTCAAGTGATGTCCCTTTAGAGATGGCCCGGAGACAGATGTCACCAGGCTACCTTCCTCCAGGAGCTTCCCGCCGTGGATGTGCTTTCCCGCCCTCCCCCCCCCCCCCCCCCCCCCCCCCCCCC